GGTGGGGACCCAGAGACATTGGCAGTAGCAGTTTTGGGACCAAGCAGACAACTTTGGTTGCTAACAGAACATTCCTATAGCTTAGGGCTCTCCTTGCCAAGCTCAGGAGTGCAGCAGGGTTTCCGTTCCTTCTTACAGGTCTTACAGTTTTGTCAGGCACAAAGGCAGCTGTTTAACTTCCTACCAACAAGAGATCCGTTGCTGTTCATGAGAAGGCAGCTCATTACTACAGGAATTCTGTATGCTTCAACAAAGACAGGACTCCAGCTTCAGGCCTGCTGAGGCAGAGTCAAGCTAACCCTGACCCCGGAACTTTCCAAGGTCCAGGTCTCTGTAGACCAGGCTAGCCTTGAATTCTTCCTCCTCCTATCTGGAGCTCCCTAAGGCTAGGATAACAGGAATAGAAACCAAACTTGGCATCAGGTGATCATTTTGAATGCTTTTGTATTTTGAGAGAGAGTCTCTTATAATTCCAGCTGGCCTCCATAGGCAAAGTTGACCTTAACTTCCTAATCTTCCTGCCTCCACCTCCTAAATGCTAGGTTTACAGGCAAGCACCACCATACCAGGGTTACCATTTTGTCGTTTGTTTGTTTGTTTGTTTGTTTGTTTTTGAGAGTTTTTTTAAGTTAGTGTTTTGTTGTCGCTGCTGCTGCTACTGCTCCTCTTCTTCCTCCTTCTTCTCTTCTTCCTCCTCCTCCTTCTCAAAGGTAAGGTCTTACTATGTAGCCTAGGCTAATGTAGAACATAAAATTCTTCCTGCCTCAGCCTTCTGAGTGCTGGGATCACCAGAAACAACTGGCTTTCAAATTTTTAAGACTCGAAGCCTGTTTTCTAGATCACCTGGGAATTCCTGTATATCATTTGATTAAACAATTGACTCACATAGCTTAAATGCATTCAAAGACAAACATGGGACTATTAATTATGAGAAAATAAAAAAAAACCTTTTAGGCTTGAGCCACTCACTCCAATAGAACGGGAAGGACTGATTTACTATAGTGGAAGAAGTGAATTCGGACGCTGCCATATTCAACTACTTTCGTCTCCCCTTATCTCTGTATAGCCTCTTTTCTATGATTTATTTTTAATCTGTGTGTTTGTCTGTATGAGGGGATGCAGGTGCCCACAGAGGCCAGAAGAGGCATTAAATCCCCTGAAGCTAGAACTTCACATAGTTATGAGCCAAATGAAATCAACACTGGAACCAAACTGGGCTTCTCCGAAAGAACAGCAGACTCTTAGCCACTGAGCCATCACTTCAGGCCCTGTACAACCTCTTTGTCTAATTTTCCTTATTATTCATACCAAGTTGCTGAAGGAGAGATACAGAAAGTTGACTGTTTGACATACCCAATCTAGAATGTTCTCTACAACACTCCTCAACCACCCCACCAGGCAAATACTTTTACCTTTGAAATTCATCATATTGGGCATGGCCAGTGTCTAGGGCAAATACACAGAAGGAGTTAGGGTCAAATTTCACTAAGGGTTCTTTCATTTCTTTCTTTCTTTCTTTCTTTCTTTCTTTCTTTCTTTCTTTCTTT